AGTAAAGCATCTTGAAGTAATTCCTTTTTCCTGCCTTTCATTTCTGTGCCAACACTTTAACTTTCTTATTTCTTACTTTACTCGGTTTTTAAAGGAATAAAAAAAATTGTTTGATGAAAAAACTTTTTCCTTTTTTTTAACTGCACCCAACAGTGTTCAAGGGCAACGATTAAAGTTGGCTTTGCTTCTCTCTGTTCTTTCCATTTAGATGTGACTAACTGAGGGAAGGAAAAAAAATGAGAAGAAAAAAATTCATTTCACGTTTCATCAGAATACATCTGATTGCTATAGGCACAAAATTCATTTTTTGAAGGAATTCAATGATTATGAAGGGAAAGAAATGTGGAGGATGCATGGATTAGGTAGTGCGTAAGGCGCAGTTTAGAGATTATTGGAATTTTTTTATGTGATTTTAGTGAATTTTGAAGGGAAATTTTGACTACTTAGCTAAGTGGATGATGGTGGATGCTTAAGTCTGTTGCTTGGATAATTGTTGAAACATTTAAAGTCATTTTGATAATAGTTGATACTCTATGGAAGAGGGAGGAGGGTCTGAAAGCCTTTATAGACTTCTTATACAATCCTATAGCTCAGGCGCGTAGCCAGGATAGTCTTGTCCCCCCCCCCCCCCCCCCCCTAAATGTTTTGAACCGCAGCGAGAGCACGTGCGGCGAGAGCACATGCTATTACTGATTTCATTCTTTGTGATAGAGTGAGTTTGAATAATGCTTTTAGTAAGGAACCTTTCAAGTGATACCCACTAGATATAATCCCCAAGAATCATTCAAACCCAAAAATTCTATCTATAATCATCGAACTAATAAGAAAATGACTTAACGCTTCTACAGAAGACAGCCATCATCCCACCAGTCACTAATCTTTATCCTAAAACACCTCCAAACACATCATCAAAAATATCCGCTAACAAATAATAGAAGCAACATGAAGAAAAAAAAAATGTTTTTTGAAGAAAAATAAATTGGGTTCTCATATTTCAATAGCAATGAATTTGGATATCCTTATGATGTTATCGTACACAAGAAAAAAAAGTAAAATAAAAAAAAAAATGTAAAGAATTTTATTAAATCACAAAGATTTTTTTTAAAAGCATAATTGAATCAGGACGAAGTAACGTGTGCGAAAGAATTTGACTCGGAAGTACGTAGATCTATGAGTATTAGCTTACAAATATCATCAAGCCTACGAAGATTTTTTTTTTTGTGATATTGATTTATGTTCCTCTTCAAGTGCTCTCCATTCAATGATCATCATGAGATTGTTTGTAACTGAAATAGGACCGATGCAGAGAGAATGAAGAATGAAAGGATAAAAACAACAGAAAAGTGAAACTTGAGAGGAGGAAACTTGATTTTTTTTGCTTCTTATTTTCCTCATTTCAAAACAAACTTTTTTAATTTCAATTTTTTTGTTGTTCGTAGCAAGTTTTTTGGGAGGGGTGATGTGAATGTGGATGGAATGTCTGAGAGGGATTAGGATCAAAGTTATTTTGTCGATCTATCAAAGGTGCGCTTTAGGAAAGGTCACAGGGATGTGAAGCGACCCTATTGAACCTGAAATGGTTGCCTGAAGACAACATAGGATCAGCTGCACTGTCCCTTTTTGATACCCATTAGAAAACCACAAAAATGCTTCTCAATCTACTTTCAATAAATTCTCAACTTGCCTCTCATCGTGTTCTGCATAACCCTTAAAAACTTGTCTTTAAATCATAAACCATTCAGCCTGTATATCCGTAATAACAACAACAAAAAAAGGAATGAATCAAAAAAGTTTTCACTCAAAAGGAGAAAGGCAATCAGAACTGAATAGAAACTTTAACAAAAAAAAAAATATAATCGCAATTCATGAATATTCGCTGACCCAAATCTGTACTTTTTCCCATCCACAAAGTAAAGTCACTTTAAGCTTCAATTGGAAGTACAAGAAAAAAAATAAGGGAAGGCAAGTGAGGAATAAAAAAAAATTGTCCGAAATGCTAAAAAAGTTTTTCCTGCTGAAACCTACAATTAATATCAATTTCTTTCCCGACATTTCCTTTACCGCCTTTTTCCTTTCTATTTCATTGCCTCCTTAATGCTCAATGACCACTGAGATTTTAGTGGATTTTGCTGATATAAATGTTGAGGTCATGGAAATTTTGAGTTTTCTTATAAGTTGCCGCAAGGCATAGATACTTGTTTTTGGATTGAATGGATGCGTCAGGGAAGTGCTCGGAAAATGTTGTGGGAAAATATTTTAATTTATGAGGAGTTTTTGGGGGTGTTCAAATGGATTGATGTCCGTGTAATTTGGAACATATGCTTAATAATACGAAATTGGGAGTAAGTTGAGTGTTTGTGAGGTTCACAAATGCTGCGTGTTGGTTTTTAAGCTTAATGTCTGTAGAACTCCTTGCCAGCATTTTTTTCCAATTATTTCTCACACTTACATCCGTCTTAAAAGCCAAAAGTCACTTAAGAATCTTTGAAAAGTTCACAAAGACGAGCAGCACGTGCAACAACCTTTATTCATAAAACAATAAATACAAGCACAAAAAAAAATCATTCTAAAAATAAATAAAAACCACACAAAAGTAAAAAGCCTCAAACCACAAGCTCAAAGCGTCTACAACTTGTTTCTTCCTCGTGTCCATTTTCTTCTTCCTTTTCAATTAATTTCCATGAAGAAAAAACCAGCGATTAGATTAAATGACGAGAAAGTCCTAAAAAAGTTCACCTTGAAGATAAGCAAAAGTGTGTGTGAATGTTTAATTACGCGGTCATTGACTCAACATTTTCTTCCTATCATTAAGCATGTCGAGATTTAATTTTCTCCTAGTTATTGACTTCAAGGTTAATCAAGTGAAAAAAAAAATCAAATTTCTTTTTCATTATCTACGGAACTAATTGCATATAAATCGATTGATTAATTATCGCATGCATAATTTGTCTTGCTTTAATATCCACACACATCCAGCACATTGAGAATTTTCTTCACTCAGCTTGAATATGCTTCATATTGCAAAACCGGAATGGAAATGATAAAAATTCATGAAAATTTGTAGATCAAAAAAAAAATAGTAGAACTCAAATTTTCATCTCATTTACAGCGCATGACGTAGAAAATCAATGGAAATGGAATTTCCAAAATTAGATCTTATTGGAAGAATATCCTCACATTCCGAATGTGCATTTTGTTTGCTTTCCATAGCGAAATAATTTTGTGGAAGGTCATTGAAGAAAAAAAAAATTTGATAAGAAAATTTTCACTGAATTATTGAAAAATCTACAAAAATTACTGAAAAACTTTCATCAATTTGATGAAATTTTGAGTCTTATGCGATGCTCCCTGCTGAGTCTCATGTCTTATCGTGACAAAAGTGATGTTGCTTCTTTTATTGTTGTTGACATTTTTCCATCAGTGGAAATTCTTCTTATTTCCTTATTATGTTTCGTGAATACTCAAAGGAGTCAAATTTTGAGAAGAATGGATGAAAGGCATTCATGGAAAGATAATTTTTGAAAATTCATCACTCAAAAACAGATGTGAGTGGCTTTAATAGGAGCTTGATGGATTTTATCGCGATCGTTTTTTGGATTTTTATTTTGTTGTGCTTTTGTTTGGAGGTGATTCTGATGGGAATTATTAATTGTGTTATTTATAAAAATTTCACTACCCTTCTTCCCTTTATCATCTCCATCAACTCATTTACATTCTTTCAAACAGCACAAAAAAAAAAAAAAAATAATCAATAAATATTAAATTAGAATTGATTTATATTCAAAATTGATGTGTAGCCGCCTTACTCCATACGTAAATGCACGAAGAAATCAATCAATCATTTCCTCTCTCTCTTTTTTACGAGCGCTTCACACTTAATATGAAAAGACTTTATTGAATTTTCGTGTGTGTATTTATGGGTGAATTAAGGGGGCTTCGAAATTATGTTGATTAAAATATGAATTAATAAAGAAACATTTTTTTTTGATGGATTTTTTTTTCTCTTTATTCAAATAAATTGCTTATGGATGTGAATATATTGTGCAACAAGCAGCTATTACATTAACTATTCGAAGAAACCAAAATTGTCGTGAAGGCATTTTGCTATAAATTATTCATAATGTATTCTTGTATATCAATTCTAAAAGCTTTTAATGATTGTAATCAAAGTAAAATGTCTTATGTGCTTATTTAGTTTCTAATGGATGTATTAAAGCTAGTTTTCATGCCTCGTTTAGTAAAAATAGTGGATAAAGGAAAAAAAAGTAAATCATAGGGAAGAATGGATTAAAAATTTAAAGTTTTTTACACTCAACTAGCAATTTACTTTGTGTTGTCTGAAGGTTATTTTTGATTTACATTGTGAGAGAGGGTGGAGGGTGCCCTTAATGACTCATTTATTTTCAAAATATTGGTTTTAATGGGATTTTATGAGGAACACAAGTCGGATAATCGAGACGAAATCCAAGGTAAGCACGAGGCAATGGCAGCTTTGGGGAGAATTATTCGTTTCAACGAGAATTTCGTCCTCAATTTGACTCGGCGTCGTCCTAGCCTAGGATTTCGTCTCAATTATCCGACATGTGCTATTCGGGATTTAGTCCTTAAATACAGCCAAACTCAATCTGAACAATTGAACACAAAATCAAATAGCAATCCTAAAATTCAATAAAATCATCAATTAATGATCACTTTAAGTCAAAATATTCTCAAAACTCTTCCCACAATGTTAAACATTTCAAGCCTTTATTCCAGGAAAGACTCATCGAATATAGAAGAGAATATTTTTTATAACTTATCGAAAAGATCAATATTGATGTTTTCAGATTAATATTTAAATAAATAAAATTCTTTTGAAATTATTATTGGCATTTTGAAAGAAGATTTCTAAGAATAAACTCTAAAATGTGAAGGATTTTGTGGATTTTTCAATCTTTAATAATAATTGTGAATTTTACAATCAAACTTAATTTTTTTCTTATTTTCTTGTATGTTTTCAGATTCAACTGCTTCAAATGTCTCAAAAATTATTAAAATAATTCAGGTGAGTCTAACCTTAAATCTACAAACTTTTCCTCAAAAATTCCACATAAATTTATTAAAAGCAAAGCTTTACTCAAAAATAAATTTAATTAAACCATCTCAACATCGAGTTTAAACAAAAACTTAACATCAATTCTAGCCTCCTTCAAATTTTATTAACAAACTGTTTATTCCAAAATTACGCCTCCCGAGAAACAATCTTCATTTCCATCTCATACACTTAAATTTTATCAAATTATCATATTTACAAATACTTTCTGACACATAAAATTTGGAAAATTTCCACTACAAAATAAGAAAAGATTGGGTGTCGGTTTAAGGCACAACAATGAAAAAGAAGAAAATGAAATTTTTAAGGGGTCCATCAGATGTTACGGAATGTCATTGGCTTAGTTTGCATCTAACCCTTATTTGATCTTTAATTTTCTTCAATAATACTTTGAGATAATCTAGACTGTCTATATTGAATAATCTGACCTAACCTCAACTACCCTAAACATCACCTAACATCCATTCATCCCCTACAAAGCAAAAGACTGGTTTAATTTAAATACACACAGACACAAAATAAAATTATACAACAAAAAAAAATTATACAATATATTTTTCTCGCTCTTTCTCTCTCTCTCCTCTGTGTTGCTCTAGCAAAATAAAACGCGTCAAGATTATATTTTTGTGTTCATCTCATGTGCCGCTTTTAAAGCACAACAAAAAATTTCCATTCTTCTGCTTCTTTCTGTTCACATCAAGACACATTACAATGGTTCATCGCCTTACATACATACATAGTCAGCTAGATAGAGAGATAGATAGGTAGATATAAGGATAGAATAGAATATACACAGTAGTAAAATAAAAAGGAATGAGGGGGGGGGGGGGGGGGAAGTGGAAGAATGACAATAATAGAAACAGAAAGACACGAAGGGAGGTCGCTGTGGGAGAATGAGGAAGAGTTTCTTTTTGTCACATGCTGCTGATGCTTTTAGATTGAAATAGGCCGTCGCGGAAAGTGTCAGGTGGAAAAGGGCTGCAACATAATTTATTCAGCGTGTGTTGCCTTCATAATACTATATACAATTTTATGTTCTTTAGTCTTTCTTCGTCTATTTTATTTTACTTCTTTTTTGTGAATTCTTATTGTGCAAGGAAAACTTTGGTGCAAAATTTTAAAATTTATTAAACGGTTGGTTAAAGTTGAAAGCAAGGGAATAACAACTTAATAGGAGAGCATGTTGAATTTTCGTTGATTTTCTTACTTGGTTGGAAGTTTTTCTTGGATTTTTTGGTGAGGAATTGCAATAGAGTAGCAAACTATAACTTACAAATTTAGCTCAACTTGCTAAACTTCCTTAAAAATTCCCATCCCTTTGCAATGCTTTTTTTTAAGGTTTGATATAAGAACTTGCGAATGTATTTACATTTTCCGACATACCAACTCTCTTTCATTCCTTCTTTTTAAAGCATATACAATCAATGACTAGACCTCTCTCTCATACATTCCTTTTCCAACTGTGTAGATGTGTGTAGTTCTCGTCTTATTTTTTAGGCATTTTATTTCTGTACGATCGTGCGACGTGCTCGAGCCTCACTTTCATGTTGATATGTAAAAAAAAAACTTTTTTTACGGCTCGTTTTAGCACAAAAAAAATACATTTTTACTATGGCGCACTTTTTTTTCATTTCTCCGTTCGTTGTGTTCCAAAATAAATGACATTTTTCTCTTTCCTATGCCACAAAAACATACTTATACACTAGCATCGTCATGTCATGTTGAACACGGTGGAAATTTCTGCTAAATTTTTTTCTTCTCTTCACACATGTTAGTCGTGAATGTCAATAAAAAAAAATTGTATTCATATATTTCATATATATGCCACATTTATAGAAAATATATTGCTTAACATTGTCCCAAAAATAGCGACATTTTATGTTGGATTAGGGATGAATTTATTTTTTGATGAAATTTATTGAAAATATAAATTGATTGATTAAAGTCATCGTTTGATGAAATTTTGGTCTTAAATACTTTTTCGCGGTATGCAATAATTCTGTGATTGGAATTTTCAATTTAGAAACCACATGAATCAAAATCCTGGTAACATATTAGACCTCCTACCTCAACAAGAAACAACGGAAAGGCGTATTTGCTTTCAAAATCAAAAGAAAAAGCCAACTCACCAAAATTATTTACAAATATCCTAAAAATAGCAATCAAAGAACGAGAAGAGAGAGCTTTTTAGGGTCGTTCTTGTATTAAGATCAGTTGCTAGGTTCGTGAATTTTCTGAATGTTCTTTTCCCAATTTTGTGCCTCACGAGAAATTTAATCTTGATATTTTTTATTTTTTAAAGACTGGCAATTCCTGTTAAACGCTCATAATTTCATCGATTGTTTTTAATGTCATTCTTTGACCTTCTCTTTTCCCCGCTTTCGATTGACAGCATATTATTTTCAATAGTATTTTTTAAAGGTTGCGATCAAGGACAAAAGTTTTGAGCTTCATTTATAAAAAAAAAAAAAATAGAAATAATTTATAGGTTTTGAAATGTTCAGTTTGATAAACCCACAGCGTTTGTTGAACTGGCATTTTTTAATTTACCTTTTATTCCGCCCAAACTACAAACAAATTAAAAATCAAGTTACAATTCAAAATGGGGTGTTTGGTTGCACAGCAAAAAAAATTCATAAATGACCAAAAAGAAACTTGATTCATCATTTTACATTCATAAATCATTAAAGAACAAAGCTACTTAATTAAAAAAAAATTCCAGTCATTCAATGCTTTGATACATTTACTATAGTGAATTAATTAATTGAAATACAATGCACGTCATACAGCCATGCCTCCCTCGTGACTTTTGATTGCATAACGTGAAATTGTAAAACAAATTGGGTTCATTTTTATTTGCTTCATGTGAATATGGATATTAATTGATAGTCACACCGTTGATTAAGCAAAGACTCGAGCAACAAATCAAATTCAAATCATCCACTTAAAAATCAATTGAATTTGGAAGCAACGACTTTGCAACATTCGAACTTCAAAGCATTGACTTGAAAAAGGATTCGATTTAAAGTAACGACTCATAAACAGCCAAAATGCAAAGCGTCGACTTGAACTAAAATTAAATTTAGAAGCAATGACTTTGAAACAGTCAAGCTTCAAAGCGTTGAAACAGTTAAGCTTCAAAGCATCGACTTTTTTTTTAAAAAAAAGTGTTTTTTAAGTTCGATTTACCCAATACGGTACGAATTGACAAAAAATCCCCATCCAACCCCCAAATACAAATTTTTCTTGTATTTAAATGAATGAAAAAAATGTATAATGTGCGTCGCGTCATACAAAAAGAATTTTACATATTCCTGTGTCTATACACCGCACACAATAGCACAAGCACGGGGCAAAAGAGAACGAGAGACAGAATTAATGCATAATAATGAGAAGAACGAATTGACACCGCAGTGGCAATGAAATAAAACAGTGAAAAACAATGATGATCATTGCGTGATGTGGCGGTGATGTAATTTTTGTGAAAATTACTCCTGGAATGCTTTTTCGCTGCTCATGATTTTTCATTATTCCCCGTTGGATTAGCAATTTACATACAATTTCTGAAGTGTTTTCAATTTTTCACACCCGCTCATCTCATTCTATGATGGAAATATTTTCTGAGTACTTCTAAAATTGTTTTTTTTGTGGGTGGTACCGAAGAGACAAAAAAAAATTTTTTTAATTAAATAACTTGAAACTTAACTTACCGTGGGTGGCTTCTTTTTTGCCCAAATTGTGCCATGTGACGACATTTGACAATTTTCATTGTTTAACATTTTTATTACAATTTTTTTAAGCTGTACGTCACATGGCAGTCGTTTTTTATTATTAACAATTTTTTCCTGTATATGTCTCCGAGTTCAGACGGTATAAATCATATTTTTGTGATTGTGACCCTTGAGGGGAAATTGCGTTTAATTCATTAGCTGAAAGTCATAGCCTTATAGATAAGCTTTTTCATAGCTAAGCGTTCCTTAAGCTGAGCGATATTTGTGTTGAACGTTCCTTGAGCTGAGCATTTCTTGAGCTGAGCATCCTTGAGCTGAGCGTCACTTAAGCTGAGCGTTTGTAAACTGAAATTTTATTAGCAAAGCTTAGATCGATTCCTTAAGTTGAGTGTTTCTTAATCTAAGTACTCATGACACTGATGGTACTTTAGATTAATATTTTGATAAAATTGACCACAAGGATCCCGGTAAAAGCATACATTTTTATTATTATGGATCTGAAGATAAATCTGTTAATTAAATTATCAGAACTGAATGGGATTTTTTAATGAAATTTTTTTTTGTGTTGCTCTTCTAGAAATTTATTATTTAATCTCCTTTACGTGCTCGTCGTCTGCCATCCATTGTCGTCTACATGGGAGTAATAATTGAAATTTTTTACGAACCTTATTTTGAATCGTGGGTTAATAAACTAAGGTAATTAATTAATTTTTATGCAAAGGTGAGGAAAATAATTGAAAAATTCATAATTTTTAAAGTTAAAAGATTTTAAAGCGAAATATCAAGTCCTCATAAAAATTACTCCGATATAATCCACAGATCCCCACCATCATCATCTGGACATCTGGATGATTCCCGCCAAAAACAATTTCAATATAAAATTCATTAAAAACTTTTTTTTTGCATTTCCATTGTCGCTTATTTCATTCTATACGTTAACTATCACACCGTCGATGTAGCTACAAATTTTTTTATTATTAATATTAAAATCCTTTCCAATCTTTTTTTCTCATAATTTTTAATTCTCCAACTCTACAGTGCTCCCCGAGTCCTGTGTATGTGTGTTGCAGATGTGCACGTTCGAGACATTTTCCCACAATGAAAGATTATTCATATATGCCAAATTGCATGGAATGAGGAGCAACAGAGAGAAAAAAAAAACTTTAATCCTCATGCCGAAAACTTGGATTTTTATGGCAAAAAAAAAATTAAATTTAAAAT